TTATTAAGACAATTATGTATTTTTGTTTCCCTCTTATACTTTGAAAGAAATATCTAATTATTATGTCTTTCCTTTAATTCAATAACTTCTTACAAATGTTTGTTTCTCTCAAACTATTATAAAATTTATATACAGTATAATAACCGCATGTATAGCCGGTATAACCAAAATATGTCATTAATAGTATATTATTATTATTATCCACTGAAGAGATACTAAACTCAATTGAAAGTGAAATTCAATATATTTATATAACATTAAAGTAAAATAAAACAAAAAATAATAACTATTAAAAGTTAAGACATAATTGACTTTCAGTCACTGGCTTAACAGAAACTATGAGTGAAAGAGAGATTTTTGAAATATCAATTCCCATAATATTAAATTTAATTTTTAGGACATTGAGAGGTCAGATAAATGAAAGAAATTATTTTCCACTTTGTATTTAATATGAATTGTAAAAACGGCATAAAATATAATTTTGCTTTTTATACCGTCATAACAGACTCTCTCCTAATGATCATTTAGAGAGAGAGAGAGAGAGAGAGAGAGAGAGAGAGAGAGAGAGAGAGAGAGAGAGAGAGAGAGTTTAGTTGAAAACTTTTCACACGAATCCCTAACCAACATCACAATGTTATATAATAAACTTTCGTTTATTATTTAATGTATGAAAAGTGAAATTATATTTTCATGAAAATATATTTAGTGTCAAAACTACATAAACACTCAAACATTTTGTGTATATTATTATTTATATACAAAACACTTGAGTGTAAAAAAGAGTAAGTTATATACTCTCTATGCATATATTTTTATACAATATATATATATATATAACTTGTCTTCAGTAATAAAATAATAATAAAATTGTCTGTCTGTCCATTACAGGGAAAGGAGTCAAATAGCAGTTTAGGTAATGTTGTGTATGTGAGGGTTCAGCGCACGCATTGCCTCCTAAATGTGCAAATTTTTTGCCCTCACTTTTACTTCATATAGTTTATGATAGAGTATAATCTGTTTATAATAACTCATTTGTTGAATAAAACAAAAATATCTTATTTTCTCACAACAATTCAATTCAAATTCAATTTTTCTCGAAACTTGTATTTTATATTGAATCTCCTGTTTCTCTCGGCTTTTAAACTTAAATCGATATAATACCTATGAAAATGAATCGATAACACTAGTAGTGCTATAAATTGTTTATTAAAGTGATATCGGGATGAGATTGATAGTGAAATGTTTGAGAGTGAAAATATTTATCTCAAAAATAAATCAATCAATTTGTTTAAACGCAAAGAGAGAGAGAGAGAGAGAGAGATATTCACTTGTTATTTCATATTATTATATTTAACTACATATAGACCGACAAATATATTTCATTATACTGTTTTCTTTAGTTGTATACTATAGTAATCTCCAATCAATCTCTCATATATGATATTATTATATATAAAATAATAGTTAAAAACATTATAACGAGGATAGTCTTATACACAAACAAGTCATTGTAACTTATATTTAAAGTCAAAATTATATTTTAAATCAACAAAACGTATAATAGTTTTTATGTAATATTTTCGATACACAAAAAATCACTCCATAATTGAGTTTATCTAAAACATAGCCCAAAATATGTTAGCCATCAGAGAAAAAAAGTAATAAAATAAGACTTCAATTATGTTATTTCAAGTTTACTTTAAAATTTTTATTTTTTCATATAAATAATTTTGCTATAAAAATATCTAAAAAGTTTTTTGTTTGACTCAACACAAAACACTAATCGATAAAACCAATTCAGTAATGGATTTAAGAATTTTCTTTTAAAAATCTTTATTTTATTTATTTCACTTTATTTTAGTTTAGATTTTATTTCAAATTTTTTATATACCAATATCTTATACACAATACTATCTCTCGGTATTTTCAAGTACTAAAAATAAGTCACTAATATATATATTGAGTGTCTATCTAATATTATATATATCTCCTAAAAAATGTTCATAAAATTTTCATGACTAATGTAAAGCAATCATATAAGTAAAAACATTTTTTTGATTATATCATATCTAATATACGGTATAATACTCTGACCCTAAAGTTAAGTGCACAACATTTTCCCATAAGTATTAATAATATATTTATATACCCCCAGAATATTGTATATTTAAATTCATTTATAAATTAAATAAAAAAGCTAAACGAGTATCATAAGTAATATAAAATAACTATAAAAATAATGCTTTAATATTTTGGGTCATAATTCATAAGTTTTAAGTTATATAATATAATATATTGCACACTGTTTGTCAATAAAACAAATTTTTACAAATAAGATTTTATTAGTTTGCAAATAATATTTTCAAAAATAATTTTTTTTATTTGTATAAGGCAATATTGTTGAATTTTAAAATTATCATTTGATAAACAAAAAGTGTTACTTTACATAAGGAAATAATATATAAATATCATACAAATACTATAGAAAATTTCAAAACAATTTTCACATATTATTTACTTAACTATATTTTACATTTAAATTCACTCAAAAAATTGTAAATATTTTGCCAATATATTTGTTTGCTATTGTTTTCAATAGTTATTATAATATATTGAAATATACTTTTGAATATAAGCATATTATTTGAATAAATACATCATTTTCTTTGCTATATTATATAACAGTATAGTTTATACAAAATTTAAGTTTTAATAAAACAATGTTTGTTTGGTAGAAGTAGTCTAACTCTCAATTTAAACAAAAAAGATAATAAAATCAAAATTATAAAAGAGTTTTTTCTGTGTATGTATTATAGTATAAAAATGCTTTGTAATAAATTATAAGTAAATACATTTTATTTCAAAATATATTTTTTAATATTAAATATTGTTAAACAAAAAACACACTAACAATATGCTTTAAAAATGTTTTGTCGTTTTTGTTTGATTTTCAAATTAAATATTAATTCAATTTTATAAAATAATAATCATTATTATTATGATTAGTATTTAAGTAAATATTTCAAGGATTTAAGTAATCAATTTTTTATGCCTTCAAAATAATTTCAAATTTACTAATATCTGACCACTTATTTGTTATCACGAATTAAATGATTAAATATTTAAAAACTTTTGTATAGTATATGACTTCCAAAAAAAAAATATTATAATATATATATATATATATATATATACTACTAAAAATGTATATATAATATACGCTATAATGAATAATAAAATTTAATAAAATTATTACAATTTTTCATATTATTATTTTTCCTATTTTGTAAATAAATAAAACAAACTTATTTTTTTGTTATTAAGCATTTTGTTTAATAAATTTATTATATAACAACTCTATCCCTGACATAAAAATGCCACAAATTTAATAAATGTTACAATACGTTACTAATCACAATACTAATCAAAACAAAATTAAGTGAAACATATGAGAAAATATGTTTTAATTTGTAATTATCAAATTACTAAACAATACAAATTCTAAGATATAGTTTTTTTTGGAAAAATTAATAAATACTTGAGTATTAGTATGTAGTTATAGGTATATCTAAAAAAACTTGTTGATCAACATTTGCACTTAAATCACAAGATATATTTATACACAGTATATAAATTTTACAATAAAAAATCATAAATTTTAAAAAAATCTCCTGTAATAAGAAACACATAATATATGCAATATTTCTTGTATAAATTCAAGAGTTTCTTTCATCAAAATTCATGAGACATTGAGAATATATATAAAATATATTTTTTCGGTAAAGTTTTATTGATTCACAAACCATTTCTCTTGCTATCCATAAGACTAGACTTATTTAAAATACAGTGTCTATTATATTGAAAGGCTATAACCATAAAACTTATGACAAAGAAATCCTTAAAAATATAGTAATATATGTATATAAAAATAATACACTGAAATCTCTCTGACACCAAGTATTTTGCATATGTATTGCACTTCTCGTAAAGTAAAGAGAGTGAGAGAGAAATGTGTGTCTCTATTGTGTTGAGATATACCGTATGAATATGAATGAGAGAGAGAGAGAGAGAGAGAGAGAGAGAGAGAGAGAGAGAGAGAGAGAGAGAGAGAGAGAGAGAGAGATAGTATATATTATAATTCATACGACAATATCAATGGAAATATGATATTTCATCCGACAATCTGTTAATTCTTAAATTATATGTTTTCTGGAGCACAACAACAATATTGTTTTGGTTGTAGTTTTCAATTTGTATTATTATATATTCACTACATTTCTATTAATATGTGTGCTATGAATGCGAGGTTTGGGAAGTTGGGAGAAAAAGTATATCATATATGGTATCAACTGTTTAGCATTGAATAAGAAAGAAGTTTTCAATATCTTTGTTGTTGTTATTATAATAAATATTGTGAGCAATGAATTTGATGCAAATTTTTTTTGGAGACAAACTTTACATGAAGTCTCATATGTAGAGCCAAATCACCACAAATACTAGTCTATACAAACCATAATACAATGTTATATCCCAATAGCACACAGGTATGTGTATATAAATACATAGCCAATAATGCTATAATAAAGAGCACCGCCAACAAAGTAAATGGGAGTCCAGAGGAAAGGGACAGAGAAAATCAAATCTATTGAATGAATGGTCCAATACAATAGCTTTGGTACGCACAGGTATTATTTAAATACCTTATCCTATAAAATAAAGGGTAACTTAATATGACTGCCCGACAATCCCAGTGCAAGGATTTCCAGATAAAGAGGAGGGATGTGTTGAATATAAAAGTATAATGAATAACACATTGCTTCACAATATATATATATAAGCTTTGGGTCTCTCAGAAAATATTGGTTTCGGGTATTTGATATACTGCTGCTTAGGGAGCACAACAGCGGGCGCGCACAGGGAGATGAAGGACATACAAAATATACGAGTCTCAACCCAGTAAAAGGCTATTGATATGATAGACCACTAAAAGTTTACATTACCTTTTTATTCAACGATTATTCACTTCCTTTTGGCGCTTTAATCATGACTTTCCACAAATAGCTTCTCATATCATGAAGTGGTCTTCACTTGTTTTTTATAATAATATAAATATTCGCAAAAATCGACAAAAAAAGTCCTTAAAATCGTCGGTTTTAAAAAATATATTATCAATAAAACTAAAAATTTATTTTGCAGTCAATTGCAGGATAAGTAGTCAAAGGCCAGTTAGTTGGCAGTGGTTGTGGCAGTACTTGTGATGCATGTGACGGGTCTTTCAGGCACATCCATACAATCGACGGGTGGCCATCAAAATGTCAAGACTATAAAAAGAGAAGCAAAAATCAGTAAAAAATAAATAAAATTCACTAAAAATATCTAAAAACTTATAAAACTGTCTTAAGATGTTTTTAAATATATTTATATTGTCATATATTCGGGTAAATTTTATTTTACCTAAAAATAGGTAAAAACCTCATATGTTTCACATTTGAATTCAAACACACAAAGTCTGCTATATATATAATATAGTCAAGTGTTGTCCAAATAAAAAATTTGCACAAAAAGTAAAGAATTGGGAATTATTTTAGATTTTTAAGATTATTTTGGTTGACATGATATCACAGAATATTTAAACGGTGAGAGCGATGGGATTTAAATGAAAGAATACTTTTTGAAAAACTAATATTAAAAATATTTTGTTTGTTGTATAAGTATATACACTGTATGTTGAATTTTATAATAAAGACTAGTATTGTATAATATACTGTACAGTATTACATATTATAAACCTAAATATATAACAAACAAAACAAAATCTGTTATATCAATATATGTTTTATATTAAAATCTATACATCGATATACTCTACAAAGTGTTAGACACTGTTTTATATGATGACAGTCGAAGGCAAAAGAGAGAGAATACAAGCCCTCAAACCACCACAAGTTATAGTTGAATCCAGTGGTAAATCACAACATCCCTATCTCTCTCTCCCTTTCCCTGACTCTCGTGTTATTATTATTACATAACTATAACGTACATTTGCAATATGGTGAGTGCAACTAAGATATAAATCATTTGCAAAAATGTAGTGCAAACACACAATAATACTGATATTATTAATACAATTCAATGATATATCACTGGTATATACAGTACATTATATAAGATATACAGCAAATGCATAAACCGAGAAAAAAAATCAAACTAACAAAACAACAGACATCATAGTTATAAAAAAAAGTCTACTGTTTTCTAATCATACGTTAAGCACATTATCGTTGATTGTGTTTGTGTTGAACACAATTCACGACTAATACATCTTTCTCGTCGATCTCTTATCACTGGTATATGAATTATAAAGTGCTCACCAGAGCTCCTGCCTAATGGGGCACTCCATTCGCTATCCCTGTATATACGTACACACAATTGGCAGCTATGGGTGCACACAATACACTGCACACTACAGTATGCACAGTATACAGTACTACAGTGTATAAATGTTTTGGTAAGTTTGGACTAACAAATTATAAGCTGACACACATATATATAAAGTAGCATTTATTGAACTGAGTTTAATGATTAGCCAAACAACTGATTAGTTGGTAATTAATGTCGACATACAGTGAGTTGTGGCACCAAATTGTCACATAAAAACACAACAAAAACAGTATTTTTTTCTTAATGTTTATCTATTGTCTATGTCATTGCTATATATTATATAGTGTACAATAAACTCATTGATTGCATTAAATGTTTAAAAACATACATTTTTTGGGTAAATATTTGTTGTAAAAATAAATTCTTTAATAATCAACACAATATAAACAATATGTACACAATACTAATAATACTAATACTACTACCTAAGCCTACTATAATAGTACACTGTATTAAAAGGATAGGTAGGCACAGGAATTGACTCAACCAAACATTGGGTTTTATGTTGTAATTCCTGAATCATTTCATATATAATTCAATAGTTTTATTTTGCCTTAAGATTAGAGCAGAGAAAGAGACAAATATTTTTGATTCAATTTATTTTATGATGAATTGCTACACATTTCATAAACTTTTTTTCAAAATTAAAAGAACTTATATATTGTGTGTGAAATAGTAGTGTAAAGAAAAGGAAAGAATATATAAAACTTTAATTACTCACAATTTGTGACATATATTTAGCCGATTATTGTCTTCGGCCTTAATTGCGGACAAAATAATAATATTGTTTCGGACAGTAATTGTCTCTGTCCTTCATCAGCGAACATTATACTGTTGGTCTTTAGGTACTTGTGAGAGAGTGACCACAAAAAGTGATAATTGATAACATGTTTAGTGCCATAAAACTTATTTGACTAGTTTTAACATAAGTTTTATAATAATACAAACTTATGTTAAAAACTTATGTTCTAAACAATATATCTCTCTCTCTCTCTCTCTCTCTCTCTCTCTGATTGCGCTGATTTATAGTAATTTGTCCGTCGAAGACAATAATCGGCTAAATATATCAAATTGTGATAATTAAAGTTTTATATATAATGTGTGATTGTGATAACATAAACCTAAATAAAAAAAGGAAAGAAATTTTTTTTCACTTCTAAATAATATATATTTTGACTGATTTATAGTTTTGGTCACTCATATACATTCACTCACAAACATTCTCTCTCTCTCTCTCTCTCTCTCTCTCTCTCTCTCTCTCTCTCTCTCTCTCTCTCTCTCTCTTTCTCCCAATCAATGGTTCTCTTCTCTCAAAAATATTTTTTATATTTCATTTTATTATATTTCTTATGCACTCCTGATTGTTGTCGACACCATTGAGAGGTTACCAGAAATTGTTGTTCAATATTGTCTATCAGTTCCGCTTGCATTGCATCGCCAGTCAAAAAGTTATATATAAAATATCTATTTTTTGTTTCAATTGTAGTGAGTCTACAATAAGAAAGAGAAAAAGTAAAATATACTGTATGTATATATCTTGTTGTAAAAAGAGTGTATACAATATATACAGTATATATAAACCGTATATTTTTGATGTGTGATTGAGGGCATAGACAGCTCAGGCACTTATTTACACTAACAGTGTTTCTCATTCAATGCTCAGGGTCTTAGCAAATATTGAAAAAAATTGCAGTGAAAAATGTTAGTACAAGTAGTAGTGGTTATAATGAATGAATAGTGAGAAACTTTCAAAAAGTCGTATCACTTGATATAGCATTAATACTGAGAAAATTTGCTCCTTATATGTTTGGAAAGTCATAATTCTAAGGGACCGACAAAATTGGACACAATATATATAAGTATCGAAATTAAATTATCGTTGCAAACAATACATATAATCACTCATATAAAAAATTGTGATATATATAATATATAATATACAGTATGTAATGTATATTTGAGTTATTGCTTTTCAAAGTTTGAAAAAAATTATTATAGTAAAAAAATTCTCTCAACTTTTTGACCCCAACTTTATGTCGCACCAAATATATTAAATATACTGTATTTTAAATTTTGAAAAAAATATTGCTTAGAAAGATATGTCATTATAATGATTATAAAGTCCTAATAATTTTTAAATACATTTTATTGTTATTATGAATATATATATGATATAAAAATGTGTCGTTTTATATCATTATATTGTTAGTTGTATTATTACACTGTATTTATAATAATGTAATAATAAACTAAAACTTGTCTCATAAGTAAAGTGTGTTTTAGAGTAGAAAACCATTAAATCTTACTTAAAGATAACGAAAGTTTTCAAAAGAAAAATGCTTATAGTCTTAGGTAAAGACATGTCAAACAAATGTATGTATAGGAAAATGGGGGAAAAGGTTTAGTATAGTAGGGGTGGCCATAGAAAAGCAAATTTTAGGCACTGGTGGTAATAGTTGATGTACTTAAGTGCTGTCTTGAAGACAAAAAAAGAGAACAAACCAAATGATAGACTCAAATAGACATCAATGATGTTAAGCATAAATACAAGTAATGTTTCACTCTCTCAGTTGATATCTTGTTGTTGTTGTAATTGTTAAGATATAAATGACTCACTAAATGGACAGACACTCTAATTCATAGAGAGCTGAAAACTAACATTTTTCAAGAGATTATTGTATAGCAAAAAATAAATAACATGAATATAAAATTGACTCAACAATATATCATTCAAAAAACATAAGTATAGTTAAAAAACGATAAAAAAAACTTATTGCAAAATGTTGGCCAACTAAATGCATAACAATATATATTAGCTCTTAAGTTTCAAGTTTTTTTACATCCATGTGCTATCACACTACAGAAATAATAGTCAATGTTTGGTAAGTAAAGAGCAATGGCCTTAGCCTTAAACATAAACAAATGAAAACATATATAAGATTATATAAAAATTATATTAAATGAGAAAAAGTCAACCATTGACATCAATATTGTCATTGAATTTATATTTCATCACAATATATATATATACTGTATACACTTTCTACAATCTATACAATTAAATAATTGTACAATTTATCGGATATCCTTATTATTATGGCAAATAAAATGTCAATCATAAATATGTCAATTAAGCAGTCAACAAATATTGTGTTATTAACAGGATTCAATATTTAATAATTAATTAATAAAATATATCTTAATAAATATAACCAAAACCAATATAACTAAAAAAAACAAAAACAAACATTTATACCGTATGTAAATTGTTATGTTAAGGAAATATTTTCAATGTCTCTGCACTTTTCATATGAGTAATAGAGTGTTAAAACACTTTCCATTACATCAAGATATTGATTAACAAAAAGTAAAAATTCAAAATGATTTGTGTATATAAAAAAAATAGTTGACTGCAACTGGTTTTGTCGATACATTTCAATAATATACAGTCAATATTAAAATACATGGTTTGCAAACACAACATAAAAACTAAAGAAAAATGAATAAAATAAAAGATAATAAATAAGAAGTCAAAGAATGAATATTATTATTGAAAACTTAAAATGTTTTGGCAATATTTGAAACAAATAAAACATCTAAATAACTAACTATCCCTAAGATCTCAAATGCCAATCACATCCATAAGTTTTATTTTGTTTTTTATTAATATATACAATATATGTAATACACTATATAACTCATTCGTTGATAATGAGGATATCATCTGAAGAAACAACAAAAAATTGCAAAACATTTGGATAATTGATAACATAAAACATAATACGAATAAATAAGACCTTTAGGAGTCATCACTCTTTCATAGACTTCATTAATTTTGTGGACAAAACGACATCATATATAAGATATTAGGTATGATCTCAATTGTAAACCACTAGGAAGTCATCAGATGAATGTATAAACAGTTTGACAACAACTCAATGAATAATAAATTATATCATTTAAAAGTGTCATTGTTTTTATTACTTTTATTATTTATATTAATATTACTTTGCATATGCAAATATGATGGCTTTAAATTTAGACTATATATGCTAATGTAAAACATGTCACATATAAATTATATGATTAATGTATTCATGGTATCAAATGCTACAAAAATTTTAAAACTCATTTCCAGGTATCAGTGAAAACAATTTTTTCAACATAAAAAATATGATTGCATTTAAGTATGATAAGTATAACATATATTGTATAAACAAATGTTAAGCTATAAAACCAAATAATATACTTCTTGTAATATAAGGAAACCAATATATATATTGAAGACATTAGACCTAATATTATGAAACCACAAGAGAAACATTAGATGAGATACAAAACACTATTATTTTACCGGTGAAGACCTTATAGTTGAGAAACTAACTCAAGATTAATATAACTTTATATATAGTATGTCTTAGACATTGTTTTAAGTAAAACACAGCTCTCATATTGTAATACAATATATTATATAAAATACTATTTGCTATTATACTAAAATCAGTGATTTTTTAAATAAAACATAAAAATAGGGCAAATTTTTAGTAAATAATTGAACGCTCAATAATCGTGTGGATGTGTTTAGATATTTTTACGATACTAAATGTTGAGTAACTGTGTGTATGTGTGTATCAATGGTCAGTTATGTCACTTAAATGAATGTCACGTCCAGTTCCCCAAATGGTTATGACTCGTGACCCACAATAAAGTGTTTTTCTCATCAAATCTTTTTTTCTCTCAATTTCTTCATTTCGTAGAGTTTTGTCTCTCATTTCTCTCGGCAGGCGTTTGATTGCATTTAGACTTTCATCTCTCTGTCGCTGTCTTTCTCTTTCTTTGGTCTTAAATAATACCATTTCTTATATAAAACTTAAGCTAAGGTTATGTTTCTCATGGATTCACATTTAATATCTAAAGGCAGAGTATATATTTGACTTTTACTTTTCATATAATATCCACTGAGTGATCACTGCAATAGAGATAAACATTGAGAGAGAGAGAGAGAGAGAGAGAGGCAATTGTCTAATATAAGAGTTAATGCCTGTAACCTACCAACCAATATATACGGTATAATACTGTATATATATATATATATATACAGTACAACTACCAGTGCTTCAAATTCATCAAAATAAGAGACACACAAAAAGCTCAGTTCAAGCAAAATAAGAGAATACATCTCTCTTTTTGTGATTAAATGAAATCAAGTTATGTATGGTTTGCCTCCTCAGCACTGCTGGTGATGTTGTCGTAGACATTAACCACACACTGGAATCTAATCTGATTGGGATTGGGAGACACCAGAGGAGACACCAAAACAATTATCAAATACACATTCAATCGACGCGCAAATAACTTCCTTATGTGAGTACAATTTGAGACCAAATTTGGCGAAAGATTTAATTTTCACAGAAATCATTTAATAATAATAATAATAATAAATGCCATTAAATAGATTTGAGATGACTATCGCATAGCGAGCGGAAAGTCAACTCAAATATCGGGGAATCGGCGGTAAAAGTAATTAACGTAAATACACGCGTTAAGTAAAAAACGGTTTTATTTAGTTATTAAAATATATACGACATGTCGGTGTGAGAGCTAAACGACTACTACTACTGGTGCGGAACCGGTAGAGTAGTTGTTATATCCACGCTTGCGACTGAATTGTAGTGTCGAGCGCCTGCTATCGACACACTCCCCGGCCGCGAGATTCCGGCCATAGGTCGGAACGGATGACCAATGAGATGCTTGTGATTCGGCGGGTAGTAATCGATGTCTTGAGCGCTGACGTGGTATGTTTTCGGTGAACGGCGAGTTATGATAGCGATGATAGCGTAAGAGATGCGATGAATGAGAAACAAACGTTTTCGTGATATTACCATCTCTTACGTTGAATTGTTTTAGACGAAAGGTTTCGTGACCGATCTGACCAACTATACGGTACGGTCCGTGTATGTACTGATTGTTTCGCGTAGAGTGGCTGTCTGGTATGCGATACTCAACGACATCACCGATACGTAAATCAGATGAGCGATACTTATCGTCGTGTCTGACATTACATATTATCGGCGGTTTACGATATCGTTTAGTAACGTTTTGTCGGCATCGGTGGCATCTCTTTATATAGTTAGAGACATCGGTTCTCAGCGTTGGCCACCAATGTTTCGATGAAACCAATCGAAAAGTATGTTCAATATTGTGATGATTGGTGTCGTTATGGAACTCTTTTATTACGTTGGCGATCATCGATGGCGGTACAACTAATTTAGTGACACCACGATATGCTACGTGTATGAGTCCGTTGATTATCTTTGGTTTTCGGATTTTATACGCTTTGATTTCGTGTTGATTGTCGTAAAGGCTGTTATTAGCGTTGAGTTTTCGGTGTTCGTCGGCAGCTGATGTCAATTGAGTAAACGACGGTCGGATGAGTTTATTTACTATCTGGTCGTCGGTCTCATTAATCGTCAGCTTTTCGATAGGCAGAGGTTTCGGCTGTTGAGCTATCGGGTTAACGTCGGTTTTAATAAGAATTGGTTCGGTTGGCAACGCGAGACCAACTACTTTGATTAAGCCCATTGTCGGTATATTTGCGACTTTAATCGAATAGCTTTCGACGTTTCGTTGATTTTTCAAACGTACTTTCGTTTCCATGTCGGCTATGTCGATGCCAACGATAGCATCGTAAGAGATGTCGTCCATTACTTGCATCGACACTCTTGCGGTTTGTCGATCAAGTTTAATATCGACTCGGACTTCGCCGAGAGTGGTCTTGAATCCGGCGACGGTTTTTACATTAATTCCATGTCCGTCGGGTCGTAATTGCAAATAATCGGCTATTTCTTTCGATAGGACTGTCAATTCGGATCCATGATCAATGAATGCTTTAACCGGTTTGTCGTTAATCTTCACATCGTAATGGCGGTTGTCATTGATAACTATAGCGTTGACGGCAGCTGTAGAATCATTTTCATCGGCTGGGCGTGGTGCTGGTGGTTGTCTAGCGTCTGGGCGGTGGCAAAGACGCATCCAATGATATTCAGTATATCCGGATCGGAGACATCGAGGACAGGGTTTTGTAGGTAAGTCGTTGTTACGTTGTTTTCTCGAATCGTAAGGCCTGTCATTGTCGTCGTAATCGTTAATAGAATCGCTATTCGGGTATCGCTGTCGCTTTCGTGTCTCTTCTATCGCTACGGCGATACTAAACCAATCTTCGGGTGATTTCGGCTTCTGGGCGGCCAGATGTGGTTTGTACCAGTCGGGCATACCCTTCGTGAGTAGCCCGACCGCCTGCTTATCCGTGGCCTCGGCTTCATCCAAAAGCCGGCGCATGTCGTTATAATAGGATAAAACGGATTCGTTTCCTCGAAGTCGACGGTCAGATGCTTCGACTATCCCGTGGCCTACCATACGGCCGAAACGGGCGATCATTTTCTTTCGACACGTTTCCCACGTGATGTCTGGTCGTTTGCGAGCGACCTCGCGGCAGTACCAACTGTATGCCTCGCCTGTAACGTGTTTGGCCAGTGACGTAAGTTTTTCGCTATCGGTATAATCGTAAACTAACGAATTGAATCCGTCGATCCATTCGTCAATCGGTACTATCGATTTGTCGCCACTAAACGATTCACACATTTTCGAAGATGTCTTAGCGAAATGAGGCGCATATTGTTGCTTATCGACACGTTTTTCGGTAATTTCTAAACGATTCTTCGCAGTTGTATTCGCATTCACCAACCGTCTGGCGTCGCGTCCATCTTGAATGGCTTGTTCGCGGGCTGCCGCAGCGGCGCGGGCAGCGGTAGTCAATGTGGCCATTCGTTCGACCAACTCATTGATATCCATATCGGCGGTGATTCCTTGAGTAATCGCTTCGATATCATCGGCTAATGTCGTTATGGCTTCTGCATTATCTTCGGGAATATCTTCGATAATATCTTCGGCGTCGGTGGGCGGCAGGGTTGCCCTATAGGTATTACCAGATCGGAGAGCCATCGATACCTTCTTCGGTCTTTACGCTTCTTTATAAGCTCTAAGTCGTCGCAAAAGTCGGTTAATAAAATTCGTTAAAATAAAAGGCGTCTAAAAACCGTTGAGTTTAGCATTCAAACGGCTAGTCGTAAAAACGGTTAAAAATGGGGTATAAAAATCGGTGATTTTTAGCGTAAATTCGATCTCGGCGACTGCGCCAATTGAGTTGACTATCGCATAGCGAGCGGAAAGTCAACTCAAATATCGGGGAATCGGCGGTAAAAGTAATTAACGTAAATACACGCGTTAAGTAAAAAACGGTTTTATTTAGTTATTAAAATATATACGACATGTCGGTGTGAGAGCTAAACGACTACTACTACTGGTGCGGAACCGGTAGAGTAGTTGTTATATCCACGCTTGCGACTGAATTGTAGTGTCGAGCGCCTGCTATCGACACAGATTATTAATGGTATAAACAAAATTGAAATATTAGAAAGATATAGAAAGTAGAAAAGGATATCATAAGTAAATGAAAAAATATAAAATACTGTATACTGTATATTAAAATAATAAATTTTTGCTTTAAATTGCATTTTTATTTCTATCATTTAATCCAAATTATATTTTAACATATAGATAAATTTATATCCATAAACATACATTATATTACTATTAAAGTCATTATCACAATTGAATGATTTTATATTTCACATTTAAACATACATTAACTTTTTTCGCTTACATTTTTTATTTATTATAATTCTCAATAAGTATTAAAACGACACAAAAATGCAATTATTTTCATAAGCGCTTTCTCTCTTTACAGTACATTATATCCAATAATATAATTAGCATACATATTATATTAATATAAAAAATAAATAATATTTGTCATATAAAAACCATAGTAAATGGAGACGAGTTTTTTTTAATTAATGATAAGAACCGTTAAATTTGTAGTCATAATATGTTTTATGTTATTGAAAGCGTCTGAATGTTATTAGTTTTAATGTTAATATAATAATATTTTTAATACTTGAAACAAAATATATATTTTATTTAACGTTGTGCTCCCATTAATTCATAAATATTGTATTAATATCATATCTAATAAATCTGCATTTATTTTATATTCATATAATAATCAGCACTCAAATAATACCTTTTTTATTTAGTATTATAATAATAGTCATTATTATTACAATAATAATATTAAAATAACAATAAAGTACATAATGAGTAGAAACAATATATTAATACCACGACATAGAAAAAATCAAATGAATAATTGGTATAAAAATTTCTACTGAATATATTGAAAAAAATATGAGATAATGTAAGCATGAATTATACAAACTATGAGATAATATAGCACCAATAATTTATATTCAACTCATATTAGTTATAATTTACATTAATCTATATTATAAAGTATTAATTAAATAATATATGTATTTAATATATTTTGTAAATAAAAAAAAATCTTAATTTTAATAACACAGAAAATAGTGTTAAATTGTTCCAAAAAAATATCATCTAAATTAATAACAGGTAGTTTATAAAATTGATAACCACTATGTTATTACTATTATTATTTAAAATTATAGATTTAATGTAATAATTTTCAATGCTTCATATGGCTTACATACAGTACAAAGTTAATAATACAATAACTCATTATTTTCATCAATTTTATTATATTTTTACTGTATTAATCTTTTAATGTTTAAATTATAATTTACTAAATAAAATATTCATCTATAGACGAGACCAGTCAAATAAATAAATGCTGGTATTATACAATATTTTTATTATTATTATATAATATACTAACTAATATACTGTATGTACAGTATAAATACCACATACTGGTATCGAGCACTGGTATTATACGGGTATAGAAATTATAAAAGGTATTACACAAAAAAATAAATTTAAAAAATAATAATAGTTGTGAAGAAAATAAACCTAAAATTTTTCTATCATATGATATTAAAATGTCTATTACGCAACATATATATATATATATATACACAGTATATGTACAGTATATACACGGTATATCTAATGCATAAAGTGCTGGCATAACCAGTCGCCTATTGAAATAATTTTTATTATTGTTGTTATTATTATTATTTGTCTCAACACATATAAACCCGGAATATATTAATAAAACCACAACATATATAGTAACATAAACACATAAAAATAATAAAAATCTCTTTTCCTCTATTATATCAATTTATAATAAATGTTTTTAAAATGCTATTCATATTTAAGTAGTGTTTTTATGACAAATAGACATCATTAACAATAAAAACACCATTTTGATAGAAATGCCGTTATATATAAGCTATCACCAATTGCATGGCTATTACAAATAAATTACTGACAAATATTATTTTCTAGTTGTCCTACTAGTGCTGTGCAATGATAGGCGTTTCAAACTCGTTGTGTGTTATAGTTATGTTATGATATGATATTATTATTATTATCATGAATTGTATGATTGTGTTTTAACAGTGAAAGACCTAAATCTATGGTCACCTCCAGAGGAATGTCATTCAATAACATAGAATCAGTCAATAATCTAATGGTATCCATGAATTTGTGTGAACTTTTCCAGTGATACAAAAACTTGAAGAGAGATCGATATGTTGTTTGAGTGAATGGCCCCACATATGTATCATATCTTATACAATGATCAATGTTTGAATAAATACCGTTTATTTTTCTTATATATATATTTGGCAGTCAAAAAAAGGGGCTTATATTTTGATAGAGAGGTGGTATTGCTTTTTATAAAATTGATTTCATACAATAGCTGTGCATTAAAGTACTTTTTTAAAAATATATATATTATAACTGCAAATAATGGCAAAGAGTGTCCCTTTTGGCAAATTTTGGCTCTCTTTAGGCAATAGTTTATGCAATACTATTATTATAGTTATAGCTTTAGATGAATACAAACAAATTTATCAGACGCTTTACAATATGTTTTTATATATAGTGTATAAAAAAGATAATATCTGAACATAAAATTCAGACAATTTTATGTATTTGATGTAAATATTTGGATCAAATCGATGGACAGTTTCTATAGTCATTTGTGTTTTGTTGTCTTTCATTTTATTTATATTATATAAATCTCTCTCTAAATAATATATTTCTATAATTTTCTGTATAATACATTTGTAGTATATAATAATACTATCTCTTATACTAAACTAATTTATTTTATTATTAACATTACTTATAATAACAACAACAGCAATAAAAAAAATCTAATATGAGAAAAAGTTTTTTTCTGACAAATTTTAATAATATCTGTACTGAAATTATTGTATAAAATGCTAAAATTGCATAAAATGGGAACACAAAAACTTTTAATAAATATAATAAATTTTTATTTATAAACAACATAAAATAATAGCACATATAATAAATATAACATTTGAGTATAACATTTCAATACTTAGCCCAAAATAATATTTGCATAAAAAGTTGATTTTATTTCATTTATAAAATATATTAATAAAAAAATATATTTTGCTTTGCTTACTATTTATATCATTAGCAATGAGAAATTTGTTACACTATTTTGTTGTGTTACAGGATTTATGAATTTATGCATAAGTTTAAGACAATATATCATTTTATTTGTGTGCATACATTAAATATATAGCTTATGAAAGAAAGAGAGGTATGAAAAATGGTATACAAACATAACAGTCCAACAAATAAGTGTATTATTTAAATAGAGTACAAAATGTTTTCTTTCCTTTTATTACTATATATTGAATTTATAAATTAAATTTATTTTATTTGATACTCTCTCTCTCTCTCTCTCTCTCTCTCTCTCCCTTACTATATGTATATACACTATATATAAGTATGACTGTATATTTAATATATTAAATGCAATTCAATAGCATTGTGTATGTAATATACCTAATAATCGAGTCAATAGAGGAATGGAAGGCACTATTGAATGACTTTCATAAAGAATAAAATCTTTTCAATGACTGACTGCATGTTATAAAGTAAAAAATATTTTTTTTAAAAATCATAATATAATACATATATATATATATATATTATACAATATATATTTATATAAAGAAAGTCCAACAGTGAAAAGAAATTTAAAATTTATATATATATTGTATATCTCAGTCAGACTCTTCTCATTATATTTCTTCAAAATTTGACTGCATATGCAAACGCTTCAAAATATAAGCCCTTTTAAAGATTATTGATGTCTGTCTTGATGTCAATACCTTACGGTTTGATACAAAAAAGTAAAATTTTGTGTATCAAACATATCGACATAAATTAAATTTATAAATCATTAAATCTAGTAGTATAATATAATGGTGTCTTATTTTTTTTTTAAATAAAAAATATACAGATCTTCCATTATTGTAGACATAACATCTTTTTTATGAATATTTTTTTAATTTTCCAAAAGAAATGTCAATAATTTTATTTTTATTTCAAAAGACCTAAATATATTATACTATTGATAAAAAATAAAATATTTTGTAATTTATATATTCAAATAATAAAGATATCTATATTATAGTAAAAATATTTGTTTAATTTTACAAAATAAATGCATAAATTATATTTAAATTTAATAGTTAAATGATATTTTTACAACAAAAAAATAAATTTACAAAAATTCATATTTATATATAACTTTAAAAATATATATCAATAAACTTGATAGTAAATAATTGCATTAATAACATGACATACATGTAGTATAATCATCAGTAATACCAATGGCGGTGGTATAGCCAATGTAACAACAATAGCATATAAAAACATTTTATTATATGTTGCCTCTAATACTGGAGCCAAATGTTATACAAATAAAAATTACTGAAATTATTTCTCAATACAATTTATTTTATATACATTTTGGTCTATTTATAAAGTCAATTGAAAGTCAATATGAAAAAAGGACGCATTTTAGTTTCATGTCTTTTCATAAAATTATTATATGTAAGCTATGTATTGATAAGCCCTGAGGGGCATTGGCTCCGGGAGGGGTTGAAATGATTGGCCATTGTATGTGCCACTACTTAAACACGATTTCTTACTATTAAAGCCCAAAATATTATATAAGAATTGTGATAATCTTTTGCTCTCTCTCTCTCTCTCTCTCTCTCTTTCTCTCAATTATATAAAGCATTAGTATATCTTCTCACTTATAATATTATATTAGATGTCCTGGGGCAATCAAAAATAACAACATTTGGTCGTATAAAAAATATAAAGAAATTTTTTCAATGTATACAAAATTCCTTATAACGTTATAATCTTATTATTATTAAAAATAACTCAAACATTTGAAAGAGAACTCAAATATAAATGAAATAACAAAAATATATCAAAAAACAATAAATAA